TGAGCCGCGGAAGTCTCCAGAACGAGCGTTTTGTACGAGACTTCCTTAAAAAGTGAGCCGCGGAAGTCTCGGGAATCCCATTAGGATGTCTTGGGTTTCAACTAGGGCTTCGCTTCTTTAGGGTTGCTGGCTGGTTTGCCATAGGACTTTGCTGTTTTAGGATGTCTTTGGTTGTGACTTAGAGCTTTACTTCTTGAGGGTCTCTTTTGGCCTGCCTTATCGCTTCACTTCTTTAGGATGTCTTTGCCCCAAATTCAACAGCATCTCTTGCTCAACATTTTGTGTTTTGTGCACATGGTCGTGATAATGATGTGCTTTGGCGAAGCTGGGTTTGGTTTTGCTCAGGGCTTTGCTCTTTTAGGGTTTTGTTTGGTTTGCCTTAGGGGCTTGCTTCTTTTAGGGCTTCACTTCTTTAGTCTTTTGTCTTTTGCTTCAGGCTTCACTCCTTTAGGGTTTCATGTGGTTGGGCTTCCGGCTTTGCGTCTCTAGGATGTCTTTGGGTCGAATGAGCCTTTACTTCTTTGGGGTCTCTCTTGGTTTTGCTTCAGGCCTCGCTCCTTTAGGGTTTCTTTGGTCTTAGCTTAGGGCTTCACTTCTTGAGGATGTCTTTGGATTTGACTCAGGGCTTCACTTCTTGAAGATCTGTTTTTTTGCTTAGGGTTTCGATCCTTTAGGTTTTCTTTTGCTTCTTCAGGATGTCTTTGGTTTGGGTTTAGGCCTTCACGTGAGGGCTCCTTTGGGATGTCTTGGGTTTCACTTAGGGCTTCACTTCTTCAGGGGGTTGGTTTGCCTTAGGGCTTTGCTCTTTAGGATGTCTTTCGTTTTCACTTAGGGCTTCACTTCTTTAGGATGTCTGTGGGTTTGAATCAAGGCTTCACTTCTTTAGGGTTTGGTTTGGTTTTGCTTAGGGTTTCGCTCCTCTAAGGCAACGGTTTCTTTTGGCCTGGCGTAGGGCCTTGCCTCTTTAGGACGTCTGTGGGTTAGACTTCGGCCTTCACCACCACCCCCTCAAAACAAGAACGCTTCTCAGAAACCAGTCCCCAGAAACCACTTCCCAGAAACCACTTCCCACAAATCACTTCTCAAAAACCACTGCCCAGAAACCACTTCCCAGAAACCACACCACTTCCCAGCAACCACTTCCCAGAAACCACACCACTTCCCAGCAAAAACTTCCCAGAAACCACCCCCCGAAACCACTCCCCAGAAACCACTTCCCAGAAACCACTTCCCGGAACCACTTCCCGGAAACCACTTCCCGGAAACCACTTCCCAGAACCCACTTGCCAGAAACCACTTCCCAGAAACCACTTCCCAGAAACCACTACTTCCCAGAAACCACTTCCCAGAAACCACACCACTTCCCAGAAACCACTTCCCAGAAACCAGCCCCCAGAAACCACTTCCCAGAAACCAGCCCCCAGAAACCACTCCCCAGAAACCACTTCCCAGAAACCACTTCCCAGAAACCAGCCCCCACCAGTTCCCAGAAACCAGCCCCCAGAAACCACTCCCCAGAAACCACTTCCCAGAAACCACTTCCCAGAAACCACTTCCCAGAAACCAGACCAGCCCCCAGAAACCACTCCCCAGAAACCACTTCCCAGAAACCACTTCCCAGAAACCACTTCCCAGAAACCACTTTGTAGGTTCCAAAACGAGACGAATCTAGGTTCCAAAACGAGACGAATCCAGGTTCCAAAACGAGGCGTCGGCCATTTTGCGACAAGACGATGGGTTCAAGGGACTGGGGAAGGAGCAACAGAGTTGAGGGGCAAGAAGGGGGACCAGAGGACCAGGGACCGAGTGCACCACACGAATAGGGTAGGACTAGGGAACAAGGGGAACAAGCAAAGGCCGAAATTAGGGACCCGGGACTAGGGCAACAGAATATGTGGTTCATTCATGTTTTGATGCTGTCAATACTTCCAGATTCTGATGCCAAAGCACCACACAAGCTTTCTCTCCTGCAGTTGACGCTGTAGAAGCTCAACATTGACAGAGCGGACCACACCCGCGTACATGTAGTCTAAGCCATCACCTTTGGCCCGTCCACTGTCCGATCTCACCACCTCACCTCACCTGTAGAAATGTTTACAAGTGCAAAACAGCAGAATCTTTTTGGATCAATAGGGCTGCAGCGCAGCCGAATGAATTCTGTGGCAGTTGAAATGGACCACCAACCTCCAAACTTTGTTTGCAGTCAGGTGCACAAAACGAGAAGTGTACTTGAAACCACTCAGGTGAAACTCGCCATTCGATAAACATCGTTTGGCTCAAGGCTGCGCGGAGAAAAGGATCCGTGCAGCACCACACGACACACCCAACCTTCCCTAGGTTATGAGCCCAAAGACGGGCTGGTAGAGGTAGAAGTCCACCTCACTTTTTTGTGGGTCGTTGGTCCCCATGGAACAACATCGACGACGCAAACAGCGCTCCCGTGAAAGGAAGGAGGAAGCTGCTGCCAAGGATGCTGCTGCCAAGGATGCTTCAGCTGCCTCCAGGGAACCCTCGACGAAGCCCCTGGAGATTGGCGCCGCTGACCGGAGGCTGGACGCTTTGATCGAGGAAGAAATTCGATCGAGGGCTCGTTCTGCGCCAGCTTCGTCAACGACCGCCGAAGTGAAGCGTTTGGGGAGCTCTATGGCTGCTTCGTTGGGGCCTCAAGGACCTCCGGTGACCTACCATCCACCACACCCTGCACAAGAACAAGTACACCAACTGGTGATGGATCCTAGGGGACAGTCGATGGGTTTGGGGCATCTCCAAGAAGCGGTGCGCCACTCGTTTGAAGTTCTGCAGAACGCACTACGAGGACCTCAACAACAGGGTCCAACTCTACTTGATCCACTCCTTCGCCAAGCTGATCAGGGAGTCCCTCATGCGCACGATCATGGAGGTCCTCCAGGGCATGCGTTGGCGGCTGGAACCCCGGTCAGGGATGTGAGGTCTGATCGGGATGGATCTATGGTTTCTCCAATGGTGGGATCGGTGGGCCGCGAAGCTCTCCATCCAAGAACGCTGGATCCCTATGCGGCGGCAACTCCGGTGGGGCCTCTCGGCACGGTGAATCCTTTTTGGAGCACTTCACTTCAACAGGCTGCAAAAGGTGAAGGGCATGTACGTATGGCTGAAAGCAGTGGAAAGAAACCTGCGCCTTCCAGTCCCGGAGCTGGCGACGTGGAGAAGATCCGAGCTCAGATCTTGCGGGAGGCGGAGGATAAGTTCGCTCGTGAAGTCAAGAGGTTGACTGATGGTGGAGCACCTGGTGATGCTTCGTCCTATGCCTCGGCCGCGAGCGCTGGTATTGGTGATGGAGGCCGTGCTCTACCTGAACCTCCTGGACTACCTCCTGGTGATCCTGTGGGCGCGGGAGTTCCGCCATGCACCAAACCTGACCTTCCTCCAGGACTTCATGCTGGACGACCTCAAGGTGACTCTACTCAGTCTCCGGTGATTCCGGAAACCGTGAGGAGCTTGGACCTTCCGAGCTTGCCTCATCCCTCAACTGAAGGAGCTGCACTTCAATATGGAGATTGGTTGACTATGACCTATCCGTTGATGGCAGACCTCTCGGCGACTTCTCAGTTGTGGTGGGATGGATGCTTGGCTGCAGCTGGTGAACTCTATGAGAAGTGGCTCACTGCTACTCCTTTGGGGCGCCTTCGCTTGCGCCCTGTGGAGAACATCGACCCTGTCCACCAACGTGTTGAACAGCGTGGTGTATCGCTCCTCCTGAGCATCTTGCCCGACCAGCTTCGAAGAGATGTGATCGCCAACAGGAAGGTCACAACGGTCAGCATCCTTTTTCGACTTCATGTCCTTTTCCAGCCTGGAGGAGGTGCCGAACGAACTACACTTTTGAAGTGTTTGACGGAAGTGAAAACATCCAACAACATCCAGGACCTTTTGGTGACTACAAGGACCTGGCGACGATGGCTCCAGCGAGCAGAAGAGCTTCGTTTGACCCTGCCTGACCCGTTGATTCTCATGCAGGTGTTGGGGCGCATCATGGACTCCCTGTCGAAATTGGGAGGAAGTCAAGTGGCCTACCGGGTGTCTTCGGTGAGGCAGGAATTGCTGGTGGATCTGAGGCCCGAACTTCAGTCCATCAAAGATCTCAGTGAATACTTGCAGGCGGAGATGGAGGACCTGTCGCTTATGGTGGTGGCCCCAAAGACATCGGCTACAACATCATCGACTCCGTCTAGCCAGACCGCTGCACCTGTTGTGAAAGCAATGCGCTCAAGCCAAGGCCAAGATGAGAAGCCGAGGTCGCCGTGCAGATTTTGGGGCTCTCAGTCTGGGTGTCGGAGGGGGGACACGTGTGGCTATGCGCACTCCTGGGATGGATTGGATCGTCAGCAAAGATGTTTCTTCTGTTCAGGAGAAGGTCACATGATGAAAGATTGTCCTCACCGTCAACAGAGGGGCACCAAGGATTTCAAAAAGAATGCCAAGGTGAAAGGCGTTGGTGAGGAGGTGTCGAAGGACAGTCCTACCAAGGAAACACAATACAGAAATTCTGAGGCTTCGGGAACTACATCGTCTCCGAGTTCATCGCTCTGGTCATCGCCAACGGTGTCTGGAGGTGGATCGGGAAAGAACGGTGGTGGGTCGCCGGAGAAGGAGTTGGGGGGTGACCAAAAGTCAAAGGTTGACTCCGCTTCTGTCCTCCTTGATGAAGCAACAACTCTCCTCAAGACGCTCAGGACCCTGAAAGCGGTTCGCCTGAAACAGGTCTTCGTGGAGCCCGTGAACACAAGTCTTCAAGGTTTTGCACTCCTTGACGGAGGGGCAACACATGCCCTCCGAACTGCACACCCTGATGAAAGGAGCGAGATGACTCCCATCGAGGTTGAACTTGCTACAGGTACTACAGTTTTGTATCGCCATCCAAAGCACCGCACCCTTTTGTCCTTGGAGGAGGTGGAGCCGATCATCCCATTGGGGCTTCTGGTTGAACGGGGCTACAAGGTGGAGTGGCGAAAGACGGGTTGCAGTATCCGTCACCCAACACTCGGTGCGATCGACTGCTGGCTTCGATCTGGCTGCCCGATTATGCATCGCCAACCTGCTTTGGACATGCTCTCCCAGATCGAGCTCGAGGATCGGGGGGAGGTGGCACTTTCTGAGGAGGACCGGCAGTGGTGGCAGAAGCATTTTCCTGAACTACCACATCCTGTTCTTCAACACATGGCTGGACAGAGCCAAGATCCAACTACAACGCCCTGGAACCGGAGAATTCTCAGGGCACACCTCACTGGAAAGGGGGTCATTGTACACCTATTCAGTGGTCCTGATGTGAAGAAGTGGAATCGTGTTGGCGGAGGAGCATACTCTTGCATTGACACGGAGATCAACTCCTCGTTGAACCTGCACAACCCGGCCGTTTGGGGCTATTTGTGGAAGCTGGCGTCTTTGGGACGCATCGTTGCAATTGTTGGAGGTCCTCCCTGCAGGACCGTGAGTCGCCTTCGAAACCGGTCACCACCAGGACCTCGTCGCCTTCGTGGTCGAGGAGAAGATCGCTGGTGCCTCAATGACCTCTCGGAGGAGGAACTTCGCCTGGTTCATGGCGATACAGCTTTGTGCATGAAGCACATGGGTCTATGGATCCGAGCTCAAGAATGCCGCAGAACATCGACGAATGTTGGCATGCTGTTGGAATCACCGCGAGATCCTGCTGAATATCTTGCTGGTGAAGAAGGTGGGCAAAGCGCTTCTTTCTGGTGCTTCCCGGAGCTGGTGGCTTGGGTTGGAACTGCTGGCCTTCGCTTGGTCACTTTCGATCAAGGAAAGCTGGGTCACCAGAGGAAAAAACCTACGACAGTTTTGACTAACCTTCCTGCCTTCCAAGAACTACATGGCCTCCAAGGCGATGGTTGTGATGACAGACCACTCCCGTCGAACCTCGGTGACCGCATTCGCACTTCGAAGACCTGGGCAGCATGGGCACCGGGCCTTGTGGGAGCGATTCAAGAAGCTTTGAGGAGGTTGCTTGGCGTTTTGGAGGAGGAAAAGGGGGCTGGAGGTGGTCACCATGTCTCCAAAATGGACCTCGCAGCTTGGCATCGACATATCAAACAGGGTCACATCCCCTTTCGTGCTGACTGCCGCATTTGTGGGGAAGCTATGGGCTGCGACAAACCACACAAGAGGCTTGGGGGGGAGCGCCACGAAGTTCACTATGTCAGCCGACCTTTGTGGACCGTTTCCTGAAGGGAAAGATTTGGGCACAGGAGTCATTTGCAAGTACGCACTGGTCTCAACTGTGGCCGTCCCCATCATATCTGAGCTTCCAGGTGAGGTTACTGAGCCATGCGACACCGCCAAGGATGTGGAGCACACGGAGGAGATTCCCTGCGAGCCAGAAGACCGTGACCTAGTCCCTGAAGATGAAGTCCGGAGGCTCAATGAAATGGCTGAGATTGAGAAGTCTCAAGAACCACAAGGACATCAAAATGTCACTCTGGCTGAAGTGATTCCTGATCGCACGGTGGAGTCACTGGTCCGTGCTTTGTCCCGCTTGCACGCAAAGTACCGCATGCTGGGCATCCAGGTCTACAGATTGCACACAGATCGTGAACGATCATTTGCTTCAGCACCAATTCAGAAGTGGTGTGAACAGCGACAGATTCGCTTGACTATGACGGCTGGCGATGATTCCAAGGCCAATGGCCGTGTTGAAGGAGAAGTGAACCAACTCAAGCGCCGAACCAGGTTGTTCCTTCATGATGCTGGACTACCTCACTCCTTCTGGCCAGTTGCCCTTCGCCATGCTGCCGAACAGCGTGTTCGACTACAACTTGAACGACTCGGGCTGGAAAGTCCTCCTATGCTTCGCTTCGGAGCATCAGTTTTGGTCAAATCCAAACGATGGCATCGCGCAGGTCAGCTCTCTATGCCATACCGAACTATGCAACTCCTTGGTCCCTGCCCATACATGTCGCATGGCTGGATCGTCCGGGACAAGAAGGGCCAATTGTTGCACGACGTGCGCACTGCACTTGAACCATCGCCGGTAGCCGATCAGGCGATCATGGAACTCCAAGAGGTGCCTGCCGTGAAGCATCGCATCACTGGAAAACACCCACCTCCACTACCTGACCATCCACTGGCTGGCCGCGTGGGAGCGCTCTATGAGGAGTCGGTTCCAGCTCTAGCAACTTGCAGAGCTGGGGGGGAGGACTCTTTGGATTCTTTGGACTGGTCTTCATCGTTGGATGTCGGCAAGCCGCTTTCACTGGGGCGTGAGCCAAAGGGGGAGTTGGAGGAGGTGAAGGGTGGCCACAAACTACATGATAAAGTTGAACCTGGTGATGAACTTTTGCACCATGACCGTTCAGGGGGAGGTCGAAGATTCACTGCTGTGTGATTGGCAGCAGGTGGAAAAGTGGCATGAGCTCGAACAACAACGACACTGGGCGCTCAAACAGCTTTGGTGTCAAGGCCTTCGTGAAGTTGCAGTTGGTGAGAACTCCGGCAGTGTCCATGGCAGCTGGCTTCATGAAGTTGAACTACTCCTCAAGGGTGCTGAAGATCAACTGTCGTTTCAGCACTCTGCAATCGAGAACTTCAAGCTGTCGGCATTGGCTCCATCAATGGGAACCCCAGATGCTCCAGCAACAGTGCTTCAGACCTATACGGTCTCACTACAGCAAGTTCGCAGGGAATTGGAAAAATGGAAACCTCCTCTGCGTGATGAATATGGACAGCTGGTGTCCTCAACTCAGGCAATCAAGCCTACTACAGAGGAAAAGTTGCGCCTGGATCCAAGATTTCCCACTATGGAGCTGGCTCCAGCGATGCTTGTTCCTACAGTCAAAAAGTCCTCATGGACGTCTTCGAGCTCGGGTGGTCATTTGTGGAAACCATCTCACCAAGGTCAATGAAGAGAGCAACAACTCTGCAGGTGAGACTCAGCCCAAGGACTCAAACCCGTTCTCGCTTTATGCAGGTGGAGCAGATGGAACTACGTTGCGCTGCTTGATGAAATGTGCGGCTGAAAACTCATGGTCAGTCGGCACGGTGGACGTCAAAACAGCCTTCCTTCTTGCACCACGACCGGATGAACAAGAACGTCTGCTCGTCGCTCGTCCACCAAAAGTGTTAATTGAAGCTGGAATTTGCGACGCTTCGGAACTTTGGGAGATCTCGCATGCCGTCTACGGGCTGAACGATGCTCCAGCAAACTGGTCGCAGTACCGTGACCGTGAACTACCTCAACTGCGCTTCTCGGCAGGAGGTCATGACTACCAGCTGGTGTCCACACCGGAGCCAAACCTTTGGAAGTTGATCAAAACTGACCCTGGTGCCCTTCTGTAGGAGGACAACTCTGAAGGCTTCCTCGCTGTGTACGTTGATGACATGCTTGTTGCTGCACCAGGTCCCTTGGCAAAGTCGGTGATCGATGGGATCAGGGCTCATTGGCGGTGTTCGGAACCAGAGTGGGCGACGGCAGAAAAGGCCATCAAGTTTTGTGGCTTTGAGATCAGATGCAGCGACGATGCGGTGATCCTCAACCAGGCCTCATACACTCGAGACCTTTTGTCTCGCCATGAAGGCATCAAACCACGTCAAACGCCTCTTCCTTTGGGAGTTCAAGATGAAGTTGAAGCTGATGTGCAAATCTCCCAAGTCCGACGAGCTCAAGCTTTGGTCGGAGAACTTCTTTGGTTGAGTGGCCGCACAAGACCAGATCTTTGCTACGGTGTCTCCATCATGGGACGTTTGGTGACGAAAGCACCGACCAAGGTTCTGGAGTGGGGTGCTCACATGTTGGGCTACTTGCAGCATACAGTGGACTATGAGCTTCGCTACACCAAGCAGGTGGTTGAGTCGTCCCTCGAAGATTGTGATGCTGCCAAAAAGCCCTGCTTGAAAGTGTATTCAGATGCTTCTCATGGACCCCAAGGAGGACGAGGACAGCAAGGTCTTTTGGTGACCTACAATGGCTCTCCAGTGCAGTGGGAGAGCAAACAACAACCATTTGCAACTCTTTCAAGCGCTGAGGCCGAGCTGATGGGCTACGTTGATGGAGTCGTCATCGGAGAGTCAGTCGCCTCAGTGGTCAATGGGCTGGAGGACAATCGTCTTCATCTCCAAGGCCAGCAGGTCCTTTGCGGTGATTCTCAAACCGGCTTGAAGATTTTGGTCGCCCCGGATGGACCTTGGAGAACAAGACACCTTCGCTTGAGGGCGTTCGTTGTGAAGGAACGCATTCAGCAGAGTTGCTGGAAAACCCAACATGTTCCAGGAGCTGAACTTGCCTCAGACCTGCTCACCAAACCAATCGTCAACCCGACGCTGTGGCAGAACTTTTACACCTTCATTGGAGCTCGTGTGTTGTCCAAGGATGTTGACCGAGCCCCAGGTGCATCGCTGTCCAAGTCAAGGTTGATGGCTATTCTGGGCGGCATCATTGGCATGGCGGCATGGAACCCTTCGCAAGAAAGTCACAAGGTGGCGAGATGTGTCACTATCTCAGCTTTGGTAGCAGCACTTGCAATTTGGTGGAAAAAAGATACAAAAGACCCCACAAAGACCAATGGCACCTGACGGTCGATTCGCGGGCGGGGGCACCCATGGGAAGCGAATCGGTCGAAACAAGAAAGTCAAGATCGGTGAGGGAAAATGAACCCACCGCACGGGAGGGGTTGGGGGGGTTGGGACCTAGCCTAAATGGCTATACCTCGGCCGCGTCTCGTGCGTGCGATCATGGCGTGCGGCTGGCTGCTCTTGGGGCTCGCGCTGGGCCGGAGCAGCCGGAAGAGCGGATTTGGGAGTGGTTCCCATTCCAGCTCCCTCCGCAAGGCCGCGACCGCTGGGGGCGATTGCGCTATGGATGGTGGGTGAGGCATCATGTGAAGCCTCGAAAACGACCTTTCCACCCACTACACAGGATGACGCCCTTCAACAGTGCATCCATCCGACACCAAAGGGTGACTGTTGTTTGGCACCATGGAGAGAAAACCATCTTCTACGACGACTGGAGGAGTGGCATTGGCCCTGTCTTGCCTGACCAGGATCAATGGGTGGGATACACCTTTTTCCGGGAGATTCCGTCCCCAGACAACAGCCTGGGACAAACAACGACTTCCACTGATCCACCGACGAGCAGCTCAGGTCCACCTCCAGTTGATGACACGCTGGAACCACCCCAACGACGGGCGACTTTGGATTCGGTGGCAGAGAACTCCACTGGCACTCCATCGTCTGAACAGGTGGAATTTCCGACGGCCAATGTGACCTGGGTGAGAACTGAAGTGCATTCGGTGAGGAGGACTTCATCGTCATCGTCCTCTGCACCTTCACAGACCTCTCCCAGCACAAGGTCCAGTGCGACTGGATCTATGGCAGCGGCTCGGGGCTCAGACGCCATTGACGCTGGCGTGACCCTTGGCTACATGGGGCGACTTGGCGGCTTCCTCTCTCGCGGGGAGAACCTGCGATCTGGGCCGGCGTCGAGCGCCACAGAAAGTGAAAGTGAAAGGGAAGATTGGAGGAGGAATTTAGATGTGAGCTCAACCAGCTCAGTTCAGGGGCACGAAACGACACTACCTCCTGGACTTCCTCCTCTACATGAACACTTGGATGAGGTCCCACAATGGATGGGCATTGTGAGCCAACTCCCAGTGAGGCCGCGTGGTGTGCCGGGTCAAAGTGACCATTTGAGGGATCCTGATTCGGATTCAGATGGCAGCTATGAAGTTTGTGGTTGAAAAACCACTTGAAATGTGGTCGAAGGATCGCTTCCTTTTTTCCCTGAAGTTTGACCATGCGATGGTCAGGGGGAGTGTGGCAGTTGAAATGGACCACCAACCTCCAAACTTTGTTTGCAGTCAGGTGCACAAAACGAGAAGTGTACTTGAAACCACTCAGGTGAAACTCGCCATTCGATAAACATCGTTTGGCTCAAGGTTGCGCGGAGAAAAGGATCCGTGCAGCACCACACGACACACCCAACCTTCCCTAAATTCTAATCGAAGGTATTTCTCGTCATTCTCCATCTTCTGTCAACTTTGGTCTGCTTTGGCTCACAAGCACGTGTGTCATTCCTTTCCAATTTTGAGGGCTCCAAAGAGACACACAAACACAGAAGAAAACAACTGTGCTTCAGTTTCTTGTGCCAAGCTCACGGCGGACACCCATGGGAGAGGCCGTGAAGAAGTTTGTACTACTGATCTGAAGAAGAGAAGATGCACAAAATCTGCACAAAGTGGACATCTCGCTTCGATTTTTGTTCAAAGCACACCTTGCACGCCAAAATCTCAATCTTTGTCGATTCTGGCTTAAACACTGAGCAAAGGACAACAGAGACAGCTCCACGAACCTGACTCAGGGACAACTGCCGAGTCAACAGGCTTTCAGTGCTGACACAAGACTTTGACTAGGGCTCCAGCAGAAAACAGGCCTGCAGATGCTGATTGCCCCCCAATGGCGCCTTTGCTGGACCTCTCGTGTTCTTGAAGAGATATCTCCAGGCAAAAATGTGTGTATGTATATATATATATGGTGGTTCCCACTTCTCACGGGTCTGCTCGTCTCTGGAAGCTCGTCCAAATATAATATATATATATATATATTGTAGTACATCTGACAAAGAGTGGTGTCTCCCACTAGGACTTGCCATTAAGCTTTTAATTACTCATCTCCACTTGACCCATTCACACCCTCTAACACACCAATTCTTTACTGTACTCTGCCGCATTTTGCAGAGTCTCAGAACCCTGTTGATTCAAGGTTCTCCCCCACTCTTGGCCATATGGAGCTTATAACCAGCTTCTCAACACCGTGAGTTTCTTCAATTTGCTCTTTCGTTTATCTCTTCAACTGGAGTCTGCACCGGGCTATCTGCTCATGCATATTATATATATATATATGTCAGGTGTGTTTCCCTTCTACACTCTCTTCATGTGGTCTCCTCGTGACGTCTGTGATTTTGCAATATTATGATGTACGTTGCTTGCATTTCTGTCTACGACACTCAGGTGCCAATTCACTGAAGACTGAAGAGCAAGCTTTACAGTCCCTGTAAAAGAACTCCCGTGACTCAGGTCCAATCACAACAATCAACGTGCTTGTGAGGTTGCGGCAAATTGCGCTTCTCGAAGCCTGCAGTCACTGCACTTTCAACCTGCAGTCACCCCAAGCGTGCTCTTGAACTCCTCTTGATCAAGACGATTTACAGCAATTGTACATACATAAAGAAGGCTCCCTCTGCACCCAATCTCTCAGCCTCCCTCTACACCCTGCCTCCACTCTAGCAAACCCAGCTTCCTGCTTGGCGCAACGCATTGCCTCACAAGATAGCATCTATTGCAATCTGTTCAAACCAATATATACAAACCGATCAATGCTCAAGCAAAATGGCTTGCCTCCTCATCTATGACAATGCCAGCCAAGCGGTTGCCCACCTCTTGGAAAAGAGTCAAAGTGGGTCTTTGCACGCACGTCTCATGCAGTACGTCGCATGCTTCCGGCACAGCTAGGTCGGCTGAGTCAATGTTGATTGGGAGGCTGCACATGTTACTAGTAGCTTCTTGTTCCTAGTAGTGAGGTGAGGAGCCCCTACTAGTAGCTAGCGTCCTTGCTCCTAGTAGCGATGCCAGGAGCCCCGTTCGTAGCTTCTTGTTCATCGGCTTTGCTTTCGAATCTGTTCGACTCTTTTGGACTCTTCGCTTCCCATGCCCACATCGGCTGCCATTTGGCCTGTCACAGTTGAGAGGTACCAGTCACAACTAAACCCACGTGGGCGTGTGTCTGTGTTGCAATACAAACACCATAAGCAAATGTTTCCACCACGTCAATCTACCCTAGAACCGGGCAATCCTTGCTTGCGAACATGTCCAATCACACACGTCCGCCCCCATGCCGCCCCTTTGGCCTAAGGCCGGGAATGTACACACTCTGTAGCACAACACCATGCCGTTTGCTAGAGGAGCCTGGAAAAGGACAAAAATAAACAGAGAACACAAGACCGTACGACAAAAGACAGATCAAAACGCAAAAAGCACAGCAGAATGGTTGTGAAGTGGTGTGTGTGTGTGTGTCTGTGTGCGTGTGTTTGTGCGACAAATGATGTGTTTGCATGTACCCTCAGACCGGGCAGAAAGAACTAACTATATAGTGCTTTTGTTCTTGCTGCACAATGAAACCACAAAATGTGTCCGAGTGACTCTAGGGTACTCACATGGAAAGAGTGCACTCACACAGAACAGTCCACTTTTTTTTCTATGAAGAGTCCCTCATACCAGGGAAGTCTTTCTTCCAGGTCAAGACATAATTCTGCTCGGACTTTGCAAGCATTGCAGTTCTGCAGTGCTCAGCTGGTGCCCTGCCTGGGAAACGGACGACTTGCGCTGGACCAGTGTCGCATATCAAGAGGTCAAGCCACTCTGAGCGTAAAAAGACTCAATGCAACTCAGTCGCTTCGACCACTGCCACGGCAATCTACCAACAGGCATCGTTGGCGCACTTGCCGGACATGCAGATCGCGGAGGGATCCGAAGAAGATTGCGCCGTGCATCTGGGGGGCCATACGTCTTCATCCCATTTGCATTTATAGCCTTGAGGGAGGGTTTGTCATGATTCAACTGTGAGACTGAAGGTTTATCGAAGTTCTGTAGGTACATGCTGCATGGGCAAAGTATCATCCAGCAAAGCCGGCACTGTTGCCACTATATAGATAGAACTCTTGAAAGACGGTGAAGACATTCACATCACTTGTGACATGCCGCTGACATCTGAGGTCAGGGCCAATGCCAGATTGCACATAGTACGTTCGTCCACACTTCTCTTCCAAGGAGACACCACAGAAGGGGACGTAGTCGAGGGTTGTGCAGTCAAGCTTTCCATCCTTCCGCTGCCACCGCCCCACCATGTCTTTCGTGACGCCAGGTGGCTTCACCTCAAAAAGTAAACAATGACTCAACAAAGTGCGGGAAGTTGACGAAAGCAAAAGCATTTCTTCAGCACCACCATTTCGCATATTCTAATTCTAATGATTCTAATCAACAACCCGGTGTCACTGCAACAACTCAAGTCGCCTCGAGCTTCACACCGCTTTGGGCAACAGAATCCTTCGCTCCAGCTACCCGGTAGCACAGTATGTAGTCGCCTGACATGGCCATACTATGGAGTAGAGTAGGGTAGCGATGCTGGGACAAACTCAAAAAACCCTTCGACTGACTGACTGCGAACACACAATCTGATGAAATGGTTTGGTTGGTACAGAAGGAATACACATCATGAATGACTGCGATCCAAGACCGCCATCGCCTGTGTTCGTAAGGGTAAACATCGCATGCCCAGCACCGACATCTTGCACCGGCGTGACCGCTGCGCAGTCGGAAGATGCGGAATGGACAAAGACCTGCGAAAGCGTCGGGAAGCGACCCCAACTGCGAAAGCGGTTTGGGTTCTCCCGGCCAACTTTCGAACAACACACCGCTGAAAGAAGCGTTGGTTCCGCCGAAAGGCCGCGACTTAAGACTTGCCCTCAAACCCGCGGAAACGCCACAGGTGCGAAAGGCTGCCGAGTCGCTGCCCTATCTCCTGGGCCAGACCCTGAAATGTCAATGACCGTGGCCACATTCACAGTCACAATGCGTGGCCAGATGCCCTCAAACAGCAAAATGCATGGGAAACACCTCGTAATCCAATGACAATCAGCTCTTTATATCAAAAAGTAATGACAAACATGTTTTCCCTGCACCCACAACACAACATGTTCCAGAACTGTACAAATCTGCCCGATCAGTGCAAAAGCTCTCTACATGCCAGCCAATTGCGACAAAACTTGCCACTGGCCAAGAGACTCTCACGGCATCCTGGCTTGTGGTGGTTGTATCCAAAACCTTGAGGGAACAGCACTACTTTCAAAAGTCAGATGCAAAGTTCGCAAAGGTCAACGCGGCACGCGGTGGATCGCCCGGCTTCGCCTGTATTTTGACGACTCCATCGGAAGCTTTCTGTTCCACGGAGTCACTGCCCTGCGGAGATTGGTAACATAGTTTGTAATCTCCTGACTTGCCTGGCAAGTTTTGCGCGCAAACAACGTAAAGCTCGTTGTCCATAATCATCATTACATTGGCTTCAGCAAACATCACTCAGTGACCTGTAGATGGTATTGTGAAGAGTCCTCTGCCGGCATCATCCAATACGACCTTCGGTGTAGCATCACTATAGGCCTCCAAGAGCAACAGGGAGATTTCAAAAGCATCTGCGGTGGCATGTGGCACACATGGACATACCTCTTGCCTGGTCTACAGGGATGAAAACGGCTTTGGCAGAGCTGGAAGCGCCCTTCAAAGTGATTGCGGTTGTCACACCTTTGGTAACTGAATTGCGACCTCAGGCTCCAGCAGCTTGGGCAAAAACAGGAATTGTTAAGTTCTCTGAGCTTGTCGCTGGCGGACTCAATCACCGAGTCAGAGGTTGCAGCTATCACATTCAGGGCGACGCCAGCCTCAACACGAAACAGCCGATAAAACAATGTAACATTCCAACAGAAGAAACTGATGATCCGGGTAGTGGTAGTGGTGGTGATGGTGGTGGTGGTGGTAGTAGTAGTAGTAGCCGCAGTAGCGGCATTCGCATCACAAAACAACCGAGACTGTGCGTGTGTCTCTCTCTCTCTCTCTCTCTCGGTGGTCACAAGCACACAGACCAACAAAAGCTTTTGTTCGAACCATGCCAAACTAGCATGGCAGAATCCTCAACAAGTTCATCTTCATCTTTCAATCTTACAATTGCTCGTGAAGATGTCGTCCATTTTTAGGGGGTAAGTACAATGATCAGGAAACTACGATGCAGAAACCAACCGGTTGTTTCCAACCATATGCTGTAAAAACCGACATATATAATCTTAAACCCTTTCTTGGCCATCACTCTATTCAGCCATATGCTGTAAATACAAACATATTCTTACTTGTAATGTAAAAGCCGTTTGCAACCACATCGAACGTCATTATCTTGGCCATGGTTCCCCCCCAACCCCACTCCACCCCACACTCCTCCTGCCATCCACTTTATTCAGCCATATGCTATAAATACAAACATATTCTTACTTACTTGAATGAATGTAAAAAACCCTTTGCATCCACATGGAACGTTATTATTTTGGCCATGGTTCCCCACCCCCACCCCCCCACCCCACACTCCTCCTGCCCTCCACCCCATTGCAACCATCGTCCGGCTTGGTTTCTGAATCGGCTGTTTTGGTTTCTGAATCGTAGTTGCTGAATCGCCTGGTTTGGTTTCTGAACCGGCCGACTTGGTTTCTGAATCGGCTCATTTGGTTCCTGAAGCGGACCATTTGGTTTCTGAATCGGACTGCCTTGGTTTCTGAATCGTAGTTGCTGAATCGTCCTTTTTGGTTTCTGAATCGTAGTTTCCTGATCGGTTGGTTTCTGAATCGGCAAATGTCCTCACGACGAACATACTCTGATACGCTGCTTTTCCAAAATATGCCGCCACCACCACCCAGAAAAAGAAAAGGCGACCTACCTTTTGTCTGTGCAACGCAGGAGTCTTCAATGAGCAACAAACCAAAAGGAAAGGACCCCAACGTCGTGTTTTGTTGCTTTTGTCTGTTGTATGTATGTTTAGAGCTGATGAGACCTAAACCACCCAAGAAAGCATCTATTTGTAGATGTAGCTTCCTGGCAAAAACAAGTGTGTTCGACAAAGAAAAGGCCAAAGGCATGACTGTAAATACCCGTAAATCAGGAGAAACAGGTAGGTTTTAGAGGGCGGTACCAAAAAGACTTACGTACATGCATACACAAATCTACACAGCCTACACTCCACACTCCAATGGTCTTAACAACCACTTTGTTTTAAGATTCATAGTCTGTGCAATCATTGGGCCGGCTGCCTGCTCCGCTATCGCACCGCCTTCTACCGACTTCACACAAAGTCGATATCCCTCGCCCTCCTGCGACTGGATTTGGATTTCAATTAAAGCAGTATGATGCGATTTACTCTTCCATTGAAGGCAATGCATTGTGGGTTACAAAAATGGCCACACTTGTAAGAAATAGCATTGCAATGTTGTATTGAAACATAGCCTTGCGCCATGTCCGCTTGCATGTACTGGCACCAAACGAGAAGTTGTTTGACCCACAACGCAACTAATGCAACGCAAGTAATGCAACCGACCGCCGTCCTTCTCAATGGCAACGGTTGCTTTACCTCCTTTTCCCACAACAACTGCACCAGCATCCTGGGGCTGCGCGCTTGGTGTGACGGAACGCAAAATGCAGAAAATATTGGTTGCGTTTCATTCACAACAACCACAACAACAACAACAACAACAACA